GCCACTGGGCCTGGTCATACCTTTTAATATTTAATGACAGTAATAATTTAAAAATTTCTCCCAGTCCCTCCTGTTGGGTCTTGGGAAAGTTGTTTTTTGTTTTTGTTCTTTTTATTTTGAGATTGACTCTTAGTCTTACTCTATCGCCCAGGCTGGAGTGCAGTGACATGATCTCGGCTCACTGCAACCTCCGCCTCCTGGGTTCAAGTGATTCTTATGCCTCAGCCTCTCGAGTAGCTGGGATTACAGGCACCCGCCACCATAATTGGCTAATTTTTGTATTTTTAGTAGAGACGGGGTTTCACCATGTTGGCCAGGCTGGTCTCAAACTTCTGACCTCAGGTGATCTGCCTGCCTTGGCCTCCCGAAGTGCTGGGATTACAGGAGTGAGTCACCACACCCGGCCTTGGGAAAGTTTTATAGCAGATGTCCAATACAATGCGTTACTTTCGTTATCCTTATTTAAAAAAAAACAAAAACAAAAAACCTTACCATTTATTCATTTGTAGTTCCTAAAGTCACATGGTATAGCTGTAGCTGTCCATCTGAAAATGCCAGAAAAGCACCAAGAAAAAAAGAAACTTTCCCAAACAGAAATAACACAGATAATATTCAGTATGTTTCTTGCAGTACTTTTCTCTGAGATCATTTCTTTGATCTTTTAATAATTGTTCTTTGAGTTTCTGTGATACATCAAACCCTCTCATAGTGCCAGGAACCTACTGCTGAGTGTATCAGTGAGCATTTGCTGCAATAACAAACAATCTCAAAACCCCAGTGGCCTAGGATAATAAAGGTTGACCTTCGTACAGTTTATGTGAGGGCTCTGGGAGTTACACTCTCCTCTCTGTATCTTCCCATCCGAGAGCTGCGCTGGACAAGGAGTAGCCACCATCTGGAGGAGCACAAAGGCCAAGAGAAACTGAAATCTTATCTGAAGCTGCTGCTCGTGCTGGTGCACAGCCTCCTGCCCTTGGGACTCTGGGCAAAGAGTCTCGCCTCGGTGAGCTGGGGAGCATCTGCCCCAGGCAGGAACAGCCCAAGGACACATGACAAGGAGGAATATATAATCTCCCTACAGTGGAGGGGACAAATGAATGGCAACAACATTGCCACCTTCCTCAGAGAGCAAAAACTAATAAATGTAGCACCTCTTTCAAATAACGAAGTGGCATTGTTTTACAAGCATTACCCCACACCTTTCACAATTTCCTTACAACCATCCTCAGCCAGCGATTCCAGATTCCATCTGATACGGAATAGGACATGTCCTGTTCTCAGCCCCAGGCCCTCTGGCTGGTACCTGTGACTGCTTTTTTTTTTTGAAATGGAATCTCACTCTGTTGCCCAGGCTGGGGTGCAATGGCATCACGATCTTGACTCACTGCAACCCCCACCTCCTGGGTTCAGGTGATTCTACTGCCTCAGCCTCCCAAGTAGCTGGGACTATAGGTATGTGCCACCACGCCTGGCTAACTTTTATATTTTTAGTAGAGACGGGGTTTCACCATGTTGGCCAGGCTGGTCTAGAACTCCTGACCTCAAGTGATCAGCCCACTTTGGCTTCCCAAAGTGAGCCACCACACCCGGCCTCTTTTGTCCTTTTGAATAACTCTTAAACAACTTTATGCTTTAATCTCTGTTTTCCTGGGGATAAATTCCTAGAAGTAGATGAAAGAGTAGGAAAATGTTGGAGACTTGCCAAATTGCAGTGACACAGAGGGCACTTGGCTTGCCAGTCCTCTGCCAACTCTGGGCCTTATTGGAACAAGAAGAGCTGAACTCATGTGTGAAGACATCTACTTGCCTTCATTGCCTCACAATTGTTGCCGCTGAGACCACACTGTCGTCTTCTGGGTTTGTGACCTTTTGTGACTCCTCCTTTCTTTTGGGAGTTTGGTCTTCACTGTACTGATCTGCATGAGCTTCTTGCATATTAAAAATACCCTCTTATGTTTCGCATCTTTTTCTCAAATAGATGGCTGCCTTTTAATATCATTTCTTAATATATTTTTAAATAGGTCAGGTGTACCTTTTCCTTTTAAAATCTCTCCCATCCTACCACCATTGCTCTTGTGTTTAGAGACACTTCCCAAATCTGGCCGATGTTCACAGATAACTAACCCCCTCTGGGCTGGCCACCTGGGAGCCTGGAGACCTGGTTCTATGGTGACCTGCTCGCTGAGGCCCTTGGGCAGCTGTCTTTTCCTCTCTGGGCCTTGGTTTCTACACCTGTCGAAAGACTAGTATGTCCAGCCCAGGCATTTGGGGAGAGGCCGAGGGCTCCTTGCTGTCTCTCACCTCTGCAGCCAGGACACCCACCGGCTTTCTCTCTTTGACCTCTGGACTGATCTGACCTCTGGCCTGGCCTGACGTTCATTCCTCAGCTTCAGATCCAAGGTCCCCTTACCCCCTACCCTCCAACCCCATATCATCAGAGACACGGAACCAAACCCCTCTTCAAGCCCCACAAAGCACAAGTAAAGAATGAGCCACCCGCTGTTCCACAGCCCTGCAGGCTCCAGGGCTCTGCACCAGTCTGGTCTGTGACGACCCATGTGGGAAAACACCCAGGGTCCCAGGCAGCTAGGGAGTAACCTGCTGCCACCCTGCAGACATCACTGCTTTTCAGGTCTTTATTTAAAACAAAGAAGACTTCTGGCCTCACCAAACCGATTATCCTGCAAAACAGCAATTCTTTTCTAAGGTCAGTATGTATTTGTTCATCAAAAGGGTCACTGCTGCGGTTTATTGATCAGTGACTTCCTTGAGCAGCTCACATAAAACCTTTTAGAAAAACATAGGTTTCCATTCCAAAGGCCCCAAGAGACTGTGACTCCTTTGCAGGCATGTGCTAGGCACGGAGCCTGGGAGTACAGGGCTGGCATTTGATGGGCACCTCCTGTGTGCCTGGTCATCTGGGGGCCCTCCCATGCCCCCCATAGCCCTATGTACTGAGCTATTTAACAGACCGGAAAACTGAGGCCACGAGAGTAAGAGCCACGCCTGGGAACCCCTAGGAATTAGTGGAGAGCTTCGAGGTGAGCCCAGCCAGCCTCCTCAAGATCTAGGTCATGGGAAGGTGGGACAGCTGAGCTTCCCTCTTCTTCTGGGGCAACTCCTATTCCAGCACCCTGCCCTCTGATCCCAGTCTGCCAAATCAGCACTCCAGCCCTGTTCATGGTGATTGGTTTAGGGATGAGCAAATCTCTAAATCAGCCAATAAGATTCCACTCTAGGACTTCTCCTGGGCCGCAGAGGCCAGGCCAAGAAGGTCATGTAGGAGCTGCTGTGGTCATGGGTACTCCTCACGAGGCAGTTGGAGCAGGCATGACCCCTCCATGGAAGGAAGTGGAGCTGAAAGAGGGAGAGGAAGCACTTGCATGCCTGGATCCAGCCACACCTGAAATTATTACTGCTCACCTGATTTTTCACTCTAGGAGTCAATGAATTTCCTTTTTGGCTTAAGCCAGTTTGAGCTAGTGTTTTGCCACTTGCAACCAGAAATGTTGAGATGTGCACTAGAGTAAGGACACGTACTAGAGTCAGCAGCGTCTCTACATTAGAGCTCAGAGCGTTTGAGCAGAATCGGGCCTGCAGCCGTGTGCAGGTCACTCATTAGGAGAACAGCCCAAAAGACAGCCAGGGACACACGGAGGCAGAGGCAATAGCACTGCAGGCAGCAGGGAGAGACAGCGAAAAGCAGACGTGGCAAAACCTCTAAATTTTTCTTGAGGGTTTGAAACTCTTCAAAATAAAAGTTGAGCTGGGCAAGGTGGTACACATCTGTAGTACCAGCTACTTGGGAGGCTGAGGCAGGAGGATCACTTGGGCTCAGGAATTTGAGGCTGTAGTGTGCTATTATTGCACCTATGAAGAGTCACTGCACTCCAGCCTGGGTGACATGGTGACCCCCTGGCCGCTTAAAATTAAAAAAAATTTAAAAAGTTGAGTAAGCGAGAAAAACTCTGCTGTCAATCTCGTTCTGGCTGACGATGGGGAATGCCAGGAGGTGTGGTGTGGGGGGCTGTGCGTCTCCCTGCTGGGCACCCCTGATTCTTGGAGCTCAGCCTCCTGACTGGCTGAGGACCACCTGCCTCAGTTTGCATACGCTCTCCAGGTACCAGCACATGACCTTGGGCAGGTGACTTCGACCTAGTGTCAGATAGTGTCACAGAGCCGGGCTTCCTTATCTGCAAACCTAGCTCTGTCAGAGATCCGTCTCAGTGCACTTTCACACTTCCTCATTTTTGTCAGCCCAAGAGGTGGAACCTGGCATCGTGAGGGCTCTCGTTGTGGTTTCAATTGGCAATTTTCTCTTCATAAGCAAAGTTACACATTTTCATACCTAGGAACCATTTGTATTGGTTTTCTGAGCAGAATCACAGCTCCTACTTTATAGGGTCACTGTGAGACCTTAAATCGGCATGTGTACATCTGATCTGGACCAAGGCGGTCCAGAGGGTGACAGTTATTACTATGGAGTGTTGAAGGAGCATGTCCCGTGACTGGGTGACTGACCCGGGTCTGCCCTCAACCATCAGGTTGGGTGGCACAAAAGTCACCTGTGTGTCTGGTCTATGTGGACCCTTTGTGGTCCACACCCCACATGGGGTCTGTAATCTACCAGCACTGGGTAGGAGGTGGGAGTGGGGCATGGTGGAAGGGGGGCATGCCCCAGCCCAGCCTCAGCAGAATGTGCTCACAGTGAGAAGGCTTGGATCTAGGACCCGCCCTGCCCAGCACCCAGTACCCATGCTGTGGTCCCCTCTGGGCCACTGCCCTGTGCCTGGGGCCAGTGGTCCTGTACAGACTCCCCTGCAGGGGCTGCATGAGACCAATGTACTGGCTCCAGGAAAGGCTGCAGTCCTGCCCATCCACCCTGCATTACCCCCAGACCACCAAAATGAGATGTGAAGATAACACAACCCCTGCACACACAACTCAAAGAATAAGATGAGCCCTACAGCAACAGGAGGGAGAGACAAAAGGCAAGTCACTCAAAGTGAAATAGTCTGTTCTTGAGCCTGTACATGGGAATGCTCAGGTGCACACTCCAGAGCAAGCTCCTGGGGAAGGACCCCGCCTCAGAGACCCCAGGCATTTGTGTCTTTCCTTGGTGCAAACAGTGGATGGCTGCCCCCAGCAAAGCATGGGAGGGTCTGTCCCCACGGCCAACCCTTTCAGTGCACTTTCACGCTTCCTTGTTCATGCTAGCCCAATAGGTAGAACCTGGAGTCATGAGGGCTCTCACTGTGGTTTCAATTGGCAATTTTCTTTTCATGAGCAAAGTTGTACTTTTTTATATCTAGGAGGCTTTTTTCTTTTTGAGACAGTGTCTCACTCTGTTGTCCAGGCTGAAGTGGTGTGGGGTGATCTGAATGCACTGAGTTCAAGCAATTCTCCTGCCTCAGCCTCCCGAGTAGCTGGGGTTCCAGGCACATGCCACCACACCCGACTCTGTGTGTGTGTGTGTGTGTGTGTGTGTGTGTGTGTGTGTGTTTTAGTAGAAATGGGGTTTCATCTTGTTGCCCAGGCTGGTCTTCAACTCCTGAGCGCAGGCAATCCACCCACCTCGGTCTCCCAAACTGCTGGGATTACAGGTGTGAGCCACCACACCCGTCCCATTTGTATTACTTTTCTGTTAGTTCTCTACTTATGTTTGTCCCTTTCTCTCATGGGTTGTCGGTCTTCTGCGTCCTATTTAGTGCTGCACTTTCTGGGGGCTTTGTTGGTGATGTTGCTGTTTCGAACGGCTGCAGGCATTGCGCTGAAGAGCTGCCCTGTGCTGTTAAGCATAGAGAAGCTGTGATGTGCCTGGGGGAGAAAATATGTGTTAGACAAGCTTTCTTCATGTGTGAGTTATGGTGCTGTCAGTTACAGTGCTGTTGACAGAGGTTCTGTGTTAATGAATCCACTGTCCATCCAGAAAGAGGAGAGAAAATTTGCCAATCGGTACATGGAGCTGATTGGAAAGTGTGTTGTGTTTCCCTGGGACACATGGTTTGGGATTCGCTAGTTCAGTGTTTGCAGAGACTATAAAGCATGACTCCCCTGGATCCAGGGATCAACTGTATAAGCTGTAGATCCAGCTCCTGGATTGTGTGGCATTCTTAGGAGCCCTCCCGCTTGGATCCTCTAGGAAATGACATTGTCTTATCATCTTCTTCGTCTCCTAAACCTGGGCTCTGTGCCCCTCATATGGGCAGCTTCCCTGCTGTCCCACGTGGATGATGCCTCCCACGCAGTCTGTCATGCGCTGCAGTAATTTTCCCAGGTGAGCACTGGGCCATGTGCACAGTAGGCTAACAGGTGTTTGATAACGGCCTCACGTCCATCTAGGCACACCTTCAGTTTGAATGAGCCAGGCACTTCCAGGGACAGGCACAAGCAATTTGGACTGAGTCTGCTGGAAAAAAACAGAAATCAGGCATGCAAGTTCATCAATAAATGGAAAAAACCCTCTTCTATATTCACATGGAGAATGATGCGGCCCCTTTGAGGTTCTCAAGGGGACTTGGTCGGCTCCAATTGCCAGGCTGACTGGGGCCCCACCAAGTGCAAATTGGAAACTCTGGGCAGGAGAGACCCCTGCCAGCCCCAGGCCTGAGTCAGCTCCCCTAGTTGGGAAGACAACCTGTCCTTAACCACGGTCAGAACCTGCCTGGACCACCCCGCCAAGCCCATTGGGTGGGGACTGAAACTGGTGGCTGCCTGGCACTTTTTTTCTGCTCTGTTCTCACAGACCCCCACCAGTTCTGTGGCCCTGACACCCCTGTTGCTGTGTCCCCTGAACCTCTGTGTCCCCCTGTGGAAACAGAGGTGAGGACCTGCGTCCAGGCAGATTGGAATGGGTGGCCATTTCTCTCTCTGTGGGCAGGCACTGCCGGCAAGGCAAGGACAAGGGAGCTGGGGGGTCCCAGCCAAGGCAAGAGTTTGCCCAGAGTCAAGAGGACAGCAGTAGCTGGTGCCCCCAAGCTGCCCCAGCACACCTGATGGCCACCTCTGCAGCCTGCAAGAGCCAACACATCCGCCTCCTTCTGGGGCTGCTAAGAACTTCCCTGGGAATCTCTCACAACCTGGGACTCAGCACCTCCATTGTCCCTTTGACTAATGAGGAAACTGACATTCAGATAAATTAACCAGCAGGTCGAAGGTCGTGGCCAGTGGGCGGTGCCAAGGCTTAAATCAGAGCCAGGAGCCTCCAGACCCAAGTTTTGAGCTGCATTCGATACTCTCTGCTGAGCCCCTTCCTTCATCTCACGGCCTCATTGGGAGTCTGTTAGCATCCCCCGTCTAAAGACACGGGGGTGGGTGGTGGATGGAACTGCCTCTTGTCTGAAATGCAGATGGACGCGCAAGGGCAGAAGCATTCACTGGCAGCACTTTCATGTGTTTCCTTACAGCGTTTCTTCCTGTGTGTTGTCACTTCACAGTATCTCTAACCATTACACAACTCTAAGAAGAGCATTTAAGCGGCTCAGTGTTTTTTTGTTTTTTGGGGTTTTTTTTTGAGACAGAATCTGTTGCCCAGGCTGGAGCTGGAGTACAGTGGTGTGATCTCGGCTCATTGCAACCTCCGCCTCCTGGGCTCAAGAGATGCTCCTGCCTCAGCCTCCTGAGTAGTTGAGATCACTAATTTTTGTGTTTTTAGTAGAGGCGGAGTTTCACTATGTTGGCCAGTCTGGTCTTGTACTCCTGGTCTCAAGTGATCTGTCCGCCTCGCCTCCCAAAGTGCTGGTATTACAAGTGTGAACCACCTCGCCCAGCTCGACCATATTTGACTATGTAGGAATAGCACTATTTCCTTAACTATTTATTTATTCATAATGTTTTTTATAAATAATTCTTCAGTGAACATCTTTATACAACACTATCTGCTTCGCTGGTCACTTTGTTAATGTAAATTCTCCAAAAGAGAAGTACTGACTTAAAGGGTCAGAACAATTTTTAGGCTCTTGCTCCAGCCACAAGTTGCTTTTGGAAAGCCTGTACCCGTCTACACAGCTGACTCCATTTAAAGACAGTGGTCGTAGGCTGAGCTGGGGCTGGCACGAACTGTCAGGGGCAAAGGGAAAGGCCACATTCAGGGCCTCAGCAGCCAGTGGCTATGCTGGAGGGCAGTGAACACACAGGGTTGGGCCTGGAGTCAATGTAGAATTAAAGGAGGGTCATGACTTAATTGTCTGTCCATAAGAGAGGCAGCGCAAGAAGGAAGCCTTGAGGGAACCCAGGACTTGCCACAGAGGCCTGGGGAAAGGTGGATGGCAGCTGGAGGATGGAGTCGTGGTCAAGCCCTCCTGGGCTCACCTCCAGTCTGCCTGACCTGCTAGGTGTGGCGCTTGGTCAGGATGGGTTCCCTCTCTATGCCGAATTTCCATCTACGAATGGCGCCACATCCAGGGGGTCTTGAGGGTGAAATGAGAGCATTTTTGCAAAGTATTAGCTCAGCACCTAGCACACACCACGTGCTGCGTAACGGTGGCAATTATTATTGTTATTATCATTATTTCAGCTGTAAGACTACCTGGGGTTTCACCATTTACTGGGCTCAGTGACTCACCTCCAGCTTCTCAAGATTCCTCGTTCCAGTTCCTGGGGCAAGGAACTACCTGGTGCAGTTTGGCAGTGATCTGGTCAGTGGAGGCTGAGGGGCAACGATGTCCACGCCTGGGGCTGGCCCCCCTTTAGCAGGAGTCCGGGTGGGGATCTCAAATACTTGCCATCCCAGGACATTTGAAGGGCTAAAAACAGGAAATATGACCTTGTATCTGGTATGAGTCTAATCAAGCAAAATTAAATAATCCCTTTGTAGTTAGAAGAAAAATGTTCAATCACGTTCACTTATTTGATCTGCACTCTCGTGTAGACAGCTGCAAACAGATAGATGTGTGCCTGCTGCAGGGTCTGCAGCAGGGATTGTGCTGAGGTAGTGACACTGGGCACGACTTAAAACACTTTTTTTTTTTTTTTGAGATGGAGTTTCACTCTTGTTGCCCAGGCTGGAGTGCAGTGGTGCGATCTCAGCTCACTGCAACCTCTGCCTCCCAGTTTCAAGCAATTCTTTTGCCTTGGACTCCCGAATAGCTGGGATTACAGGCACCTGCCATTACTACTGACTAACTTTTTGTATTTTAGTAGTGATCGGGTTTTTTCATGTTGGCCACATTGGTCTCAAATTTCTGACCTCAGGTAATCTCCTGCCTTGGCTTCCCAAAGTGCTGGGATTACAGGCGTGAGCTACCATGCCTGGCCTGTTTGTAATTTTTTATTTTTGAGACAGAGTTTCACTCTGTCATCTAGGCTAGAGTGCCATGGGGCGATGCTGGCTCATTGTAATCTCTGCTTCCTGAGTTCAAGCGATTCTCCTTCCTCAACCTCCTGAGTAGCTGGGATTACAGATGTGTACCACCATGCTTGGCATTTTTTTTTTTTTTCGTATTTTAAGTGGAGACAGGGTTTCATCTTGTTGGCCAGGCTGGTTTCAGACTCCTGACCTCAGGTGATTCGCTTGCCTCAGCCTCCCAAAGTGCTGGGATTATAGGCATGAGCCACTGCACCTTGTCTTATGAATTTATTTATTTATTTATTTTGAGATGGAGTCTCACTCTGTTGCCCAGCCTGGTGTGCAGTGGCGCGATCGCGGCTCACTGCGGTGAAATCCCCTCTTACTAAAAATACAAAAAATTAGCTGGGTTTTGTGGTGGGCACCTGTAATCCCAGCTACTCCAGAGGCTGGGCAGGAGAATCACTTGAACCCGGGAGGCAGAGGTTGCAGTGAGTCGAGATCACACCATTGCACTCCAGACTGGGTGACCAGATCAAGACTCTGTCTCAAAATAAATAAATAAATAAATAAATAAATAAATAAATAAATATGACTGGGCATGGTGGCTCACGCCTATAATCTCAGCAATTTGGGGGAGGCCAAGGTGGGTGGATCACCTGAGGTTGGGAGTTTGACACCAGCCTGACCAACATGGAGAAATCCCATCTCCACCAAAAACACAAAATTAGGCAGGCATGGTGGTGCAGGCCTGTAATCAATGCGGGCGGATCATCTGAGGTTGGGAGTTCAAGACCAGCCTGACCAACATAGAGACTGTCTCCACCAAAAACACAAAATTAGCCAGGCATGGTGGCGCAGGCCTGTAATCTCAGCTACTCGGGAGGCTGAGGCAGGAGAATTGCTTGAACCCAGGAGGTGGAGGTTCAAGGCAGGAGAATTGCTTGAACCCGGAGGTTGAGGCGAGCTGAGATCGTGCCATTGCACTCCAGCCTGGGCAACAAGAGCGAAACTCAGTCTCAAAAAAAAAATTCATATATTCAGACAACGGAATATTACTTGGACCTAAGAAAGAAATGAAATTCTGATACATGCTATAGAATATGGATGAACCTTGAAAACATGATGCTCAGTGAAAGAATGCACAAAAGGTGTATGATTTCATTTATGTGAAATGTCCAGAATAGGCAAATCCACAGAGACAGAAAGTGGACCAGTGGGTGCTAGGGGCTGAGGGGAGGAGGGAATGGGGAGAGTTTGCTAGCAGGAACAGGGATTCTTTCCTATGTGATGAAAATGTTCTGGAATTAGATAGAGGTGATGGTTGGTTGCACAACACTGAATGTACTAAAAACCTCCGAATCACACACTTTACGAGAGTGAGCTTTATGTTACATGAATTATATCTAAACAAAGCTGTTACTTAAAAATCAATGTGTTCTGAAATTTGCGAGTAAAGAAAATGTTACATAATTTTTTTAAATTATTAAAAACAGAGAAATAAGGACTATATTCTAGAACATGGCACCCCCTCCCTCTACCCTCCAGACCCGTCTCTGGCTCTGGTGACCAGATGTCCCTAGCAGCAGCAGGGAAGCAGGCCAAGCTAAGTTCACCATCCTCTCCCACAGCACACCCATTCCAGAGCTCCCTCTGACCTTCGCTGATGGCCCCACATTCTCCCCCATCTCTCTAGGCCCAGATGTCACTCTCCCCTGTAGGCCAACAGGGAACATGTGGCAGCCCAGGCTTGGGGTCAATCAAGGAGATGTGGCCAGATTGCCCCTGGGAAGGTCACACCCTGAAGAAGCAAAATCCTGACACTTCCCTGGCTTGCCCTTCATGTGACACGCTCTGCTCTGGACGTAAGCTGAAAGCAAGTGTCACCCTGGCCGGTTCTGGTCCCCAACGAATCCAACCTTGGGTATTTCATTGAAAATGTCAGCCTCAACTCCCTGCTAACACAGCCTTATTTCCAATTCTTGCCAGTCATGCCCGATGATTTGTCGTGGCCCCTGGGAATATGTCACGCCGGAGAACGCTGTTGGTTTTCCACCACGAACGGGCCAGTGTCAACTCGGCAATCATGGTATGTCAGTCATTGGCCAGCTAGACCCCTTAGCTTGTCTCAGGGCTCTGTCCCCTGTCTCTGAGGGACTGGCGCCACCCAGTCCTGCACCATCAGACAGGCTGCGGGTGGGCCCTGGCGCCTCAGGTGGCCGCTCGCCAGGGGCTGCAGGACTGCGTTGCTTATTTTGTCCTTGGGGCATGGAGCCCCTCCCTCTGTGGACCTGTCAACCTTGAACCCCTTGCTGGGCCCTGCATCTTGAAGAACAGAGGAACCGGATTCTTTTTTATTTGTTTGAGACAGAGTCTTGCTCTGCTGCTCAGGCTGGAATGCAATGGCGCCATCTCAGCTCACTGCGACCTCCACCTCTTGTGTTCAAGTGATTCTTCTGCATCAGTCTCCTGAGTAGCTGGGATTACAGGTGTGCTCCACCACACCTGGCTAATTTTTGTATTTTTAGTAGAGACGGGGTTTCACCATCTTGGCTGATCTGCCCATCTTTGCTTCCGAAAGTGCTGGGATTACAGGCATGAGCCACTAAGCCTGGCTGCAGGGTTCCCTGGGCTCTGTTCTTCCAGCACTGTCCTCCGCATCTAATGCTCCCACCAGGTACCCTCCCATGGTGTGACCCAGGGGGCACTCGGGCAAGTGTCCTGACTACACGGGGCCTGAGCACTAGATAGATTGCCTGACCCCACTGAGAGGCAGGTCTGCCCCAAGGAGCACATGTGGAGGAGCTTCCACTGGGCACAGCCAGACCCTGCTATTCCTTTCACCCAGTGACCCTCGATGGGCCCCGAGGTGAGCAGAGGGAGTGGGGCTGGCCCTGACTCCCTTCCTCCCTGTGCATTTGTTAAATGCCTCCTGTGTACCAAGACTGTTGGGCATGACCATTATGCCCATCTCACAGATGAGCAAACTGACACCATGGTCCTGTTGCTTGCTGGGGCCCAGCTCCTGGAACTGCATCTCCATGGAGCAGGTGTGTGCCTACACGTGCCCACTGGCTGGATTAGCCTGGAGCATAACCTGGACTTGAGAGAAACTCGTCTCACCAAAGGGCTCCCTGGCACTGCAGAAGCTGAGGTGATAGCTGTGGGTAGAGGTTACTCTCTCCACTCTGAGGCCTTCAGAAAGTTACTTAAAATTGAAAAGTCGCTGGCTGAGGCCTCAATGTACTCATCTGTTCTAAAAATCGAAAACAAATCCCAGCACTTTGGGAGGCCGAGGTGGGCAGATCACTTGAGGTCAGGAGTCCAAGACCAGCCTGGCCAACATGGTGAAACCTTGTCTCTACTAAAAATACAAAGTTAGCTGGGCCTGGTGGTGGGCACCTGTAATCCCAGCTACTCAGGAGGTTGAGGCAAAAGAATTGCTTGAACCCACGAGGCGGAGGTTGCAGTCAGCTAAGCTGAGATCCCACCACTGCACTCCAGCCTGGGCAACAAAGCCAAACTCCATCCGAAAAGAAAAGAAAAGACCCCAAAAAGACAAATGCTGACATCATGACCCTGGGTCATATAGCCTCAGGACACCCAGCAAAGCAGACCACTGTACTTACACGCCCTGTCTTAGCAGCAGGGAGATGTAAGCACAGAGATATCCAGTGAACTGCCGAAGGGCACACAGCCAGTGCCATAAAGTCCTCATTTCCAAGGTCTGTCCAAGGATCCCTCAAGCCCCATCTGCTAGGATGTCAGGAGCTTGCTCCTGAGCCCAGCCTGAGATTCCTTGCAGAGGAAATTGTGACCTGTCCACTACTGACTTAGCTGTGCACTCTAATGGTCATGGGTTGGCAGAGAGAATGAGCTCTCCACCATGGAGAGGCCTTGTAAGCACAGCTGTGTGAAAGCACCCCTAAGGGCTCAGAGAGTACACAGTATTCTCTCAGGGGCAGGCTGTCCACCACTCCCCACAGCCTGGGCAGCTCCCTGCTGATTTGTGGGTATAGCCATCTTTTCCCACGCATATCTACAAGTGTGGATGGGCAGCAGCCATGGGTGCTGATGAACCTTCTCCTATGCCAACAGGCATTTTGCCCACACACTGCCAGTCTGGCCTGTTGGGAGCAGGAGGAGGCCAGATAGGTGTGTGCTGGTCTCAGAAGGTGCTTAGCTCCGTTCCATCCTGGTTTTCCCTTGGATTGGCTTGAACGCACCCATAATGAACAGGTCTGTGGACTTGGTGCCCTTCCGAGATTGACTGAATCTCCAGGGAATAGTTAGCCTTTTAAGGTGGGCAAGCCAGGATGATCAGCCTGCTCTGCAGAGCAGGATACTGAGGCTCAGGGAGGGCCAGGGCTTGCCCAAGGTCACTCAGCTGGTTAGGAGCAAGGCTGAGGGTCTTTAGCCTCCAAGGAAGACAGAAAAGATCTTTCTCCACTCCCAACCTCTACCTGGAAGACTCCTGCCCCAGGAGATGCAACTTAGACCCCTGTCGGGGCCTCTCAGTCCTGCAAAGCTGGCGTCTGCTGTTTGGCCTCTTCCTCATGTGAGCTCAGGGCTCATGCCAGTGGACTTGAGCCCCGGACTGAATGGCTGTCTCACAAGGTAGATGTGAGGATTAGATTATATAAATTATAGGCAAGTGCCAAATGCGTAGTCCCAAGCCTAGCACACTGTTTAACTACTGGCTCTCTGGGGCAAAAAGTCCTGATTTGAGGTGTTTCCAATTTCCATACTGTAAATACTCCCAACATTGCTGATTTCAGGCCCTAGGGTGGCATTGCTGGGAAGAGGTGTGCACTATTGCTCCTCACAAGTTAGTTTCAGCCAGTGTCAGTGCCCAGCAGGGCCCCAGGAAGTCCTGCTTCTCTGGGTAACAGTCGGCTTGGCATATTCTTCTCAGCATTGTGAAGGTGAAGTATTGCCTCTGTTGGCTTTTATGTCACATGACTTACTTTGTGCCAGGGGCTCCAGGGCCAACAGCCCAGGAGCATCTTTTCATCTCTGGAAGTGTGTGTGTATCTGATGGGGGGACTGAGATGAGAATACCCTGGTCTCTCCCTTGTGCCTCAGTTTCCCCACCTAGGGTGATGGAGGCTAGGGTGAGGGTGAGTGTTAGCTCAGGGCATTGCCTGGAGCAAGTCTCAGAACTTAGCATAACAGTTACTGACACAGCCCACCTGCAGCAGTAGGGCCAGAGACGCCCAAGAGAGAGCTTGTCCATGGGAGTCTAGAGAAGGGAGGAGAGAGAGATCATGGAAGACTTCTCAGGAGAGGTGGCATCTGGAAGAGGTGGGAAGGAAGAACACTGGGTCAAGGGGTTTCTGAAAGCCTCTCCATATCCCATCCAAGGCATTCCAGCTCAGCCTCTGTCTTGGAAGTTCTGGGATTTAGAGCATGTAACTTCCGCCTTTGGGGCCTCAGTTTGCTCTACTGTAAAATGGGCACAATGATCATCAGTGACTCCCTGGGTGATGATGAGGTCCTCATGGTTCCTGGTGGTGAAGTGAGGGCAGGAAAGGACACGCTGAACCCCACCAGGCTTAGCCCCAAGCCGGGCTCCCGAGGATGGCGATACCCCTAGTCCTTTTCTTCCTAGTCTGCCTTCTGTCCCGGCACAGGGCTTTGAGGTCTGGCGCGCCGGGCTGCGGCGTGCTGAGGCGTTGAGCCTGCTGCCTCCTTTCAGGAACAAACGGGGTCCTCTGCAATCGACAGCTCTGCGGAGCGTTCCAAAGAGCTTCAAAGGGCAGGAGCGCTGCCTCGAGCAAAGAGCCGCAGGTGGGAGCCCAGGTAGCCAGCCCGCAGGTGGCCGCGCGCGCCCGCCCGCCACTCCGCAGCCAGGTGGGCGTGCCAGGCCCAGCCCCCTGCGCTGGTCCGGGGCGGGGCGAGCGGAGTCCCGCCCTCCCCGCGCGCCGGGTCGGAGCTGGTGCGGGAGCGGAGCCGCGCGAAGCCGGCCGGAGCACGCGGGAGCGCGGCCCCGCAGTGGCCCGGCCCGAGAGAGCAGAGCGCAGGAGCCGGAGCGTCGCCGCGGCCCCCACCACAGCGCGGATCTCGCCCGGAACTCGGACCCCGTCCTCGAAGCGTGATAGTGCCTGCCTCGCCCGCCCGCCCCGGCCGCCGGGCCGCGAGCATGGACGGCGTCCGCTCGCCCTGTGAGTGCCGAGCCCCCCCACCGCCGCCTGCCGCCTTTGTGTGCGCGCCGCGGCGCTGCAGCCCCCTCCCCGCGCGCCTCTCCCGCGCCCCGGGCCCGCGTCCTTTGTGGAGCCGCCGCCCGGCTGGTGCCTTCCTCCCACTCCCGGGACTCCTTATCCCCTTTACAGCTGCCTCCGGGACAGCCCAGCAGAACCCTCCCGGGCCGGGGCTGGGCAGGGCGCGAGATCCCTCTGCCGGCCTCCAGGTCTCTTCTGCAGACCCTCCGGGGCCCTCAGGGACACCCTAGCAGATCCTCCCTCCCGGGGTTCCAGAAACAGCACAGGCCGGTCCCTCTCCGCAGCCGCCGGGGGCTGAGCGGGGCACGGACCCCTCCTCCCCAACCCTATCCTCTGGTTCCGTTTGCAGCCCCGGTTTCCCAGGGCCCCCAGAGACAGCCCCGCAGGCTCTCTTCGCGGCCCGGGCTGGGAGGGGCTCGTGCCCGGGGCGGCGCTGTCTCATCCCGCGGCCTGGGCAGGTGCGGCAGGGCCGGCGCTCACGCGAGCCTGTGTGTCCTTGGCCCACAGAGATGGACGGCGATGGCGGCCGCCGAGACGACCCCAGCGCGCTGATGGAGCCCGGGCGCGGCGCGGGGCCCGCGGGCATGGCGGAGCCGCGGACGAAGGCGGCGCGGCCGGGGCCTCAGCGCTTCCTGCGGCGCAGCGTGGTAGAGTCGGACCAGGAGGAGCCGCCCGGCTTGGAGGCGGCCGAGGCGCCGGGCCCGCAGCCCTCGCAGCCCCTGCAGCGCCGGGTGCTTCTGCTCTGCAAGACGCGCCGCCTCATCGCGGAGCGCGCCCGCGGACGCCCCGCCGCCCCCGCGCCCGCAGCGCCGGCCGCGCAGCCTGGAGCCCCCGGAGGCCCGGCGGACGCCGGCCCCGAGCCCGTGGTCGCGCAGGAGCCCGGCCCGGACCGCACCGCAGCTGCTGCCGAAACTGCGCCTGCCTCCGACAGCTGCCCCAGGGAGGAGGCGGCGGCGACCGTGAGGAAGGAGGATGAGGGGGCGACCGAGGCGAAGCCTGAGCCAGGGCGCACACGCCGGGATGAGCCCGAAGACGAGGAGGACGATGAGGACGATCTCAAGGCCGTGGCCACCTCTCTGGACGGCCGCTTCCTCAAGTTCGACATCGAGCTGGGCCGCGGTTCCTTCAAGACCGTCTACAAGGGGCTGGACACGGAGACCTGGGTGGAGGTGGCCTGGTGTGAGCTGCAGGTGAGGGTGCGCCAGCCCGCAGAGGGCTTTCCTCAGGGTCTGTCCGCGACCGTGTCCTTGGGCCCGTCCTTGCTCCTGTGCTGTGCCTTAAGAAGCCCTGGGGGTGGCGGGGCGCTGTGTGTGTCACTGTGTGGGTGGCCAGCAGGTTGTGTGCCAGGTGTGCGGACGGCGTGTGGGGCCCGGCTTTGTCCGCACGCAGGTTTGTGAGTCAGCTGGTGGCGACGGCAGGCCTCTGGTTGCGTTTGGTCTTAAGTGTGCGCACCCTGGGCGTAGGGGGAGGCCCTGGAGAGTGATCTTGGAGGCAGCCGCTTCTCCAGTCCTGATGACCCACTTTAATGACCCAGGTGATCTGGACTGTTGTGTCTTTGCAAAACAGTGTGGCGGCTTCAAGGCCTGGTGTGTGCGCTCACAGGGTGGTTTGGAGGCTCTGAGCTGCCCATAATTAGTACTTTCCTGTGTCCCCCAAGCTGTGGGTGCCCCAGCAGGGATACCTGCAGAGACTTCTTCTGACCCAGGGGTCTGTGACCCAGAGGTGGTGTCTGGTAGGGCTCTGCGGCCGGCTGGGCAAGGCCTGGAAGTGTGGTTAGTCGCCTCTGCTGCTCTGAGAGCTCCATTTGTTCACAAAATGGACGCGTGAGAGGTCTTAAAACCGAGTCATGCAGAATGCGGGTGGGGGTTTTCTTGGATGCAGAGGCTCTGGGCATGCATTTTTCATAATTCTGCCATCACTGTGGCGTCATCCCCAGCCCTGGAAGATTATATAAACAGCCACCCTAGCTGTCCTGGGCCAGCCTTGGAAGCAGAGGCCGTGCCTGTCCAGGGGGTGTTTACAGGCCTCCCTTCTTGGAGAGGGGCAGCTGTCAGGTGTGAGCCAGTCTGGGAGAGTGCCAGTTGGAGGTGTAAGTGTACTCCATTGGCCTGTAAAGTTAGCTGCCATCCAGTCCAGGCCTGACACAGGGCTGGGGCTAGCTGGGGCAAGCTGTGCTCTAGGGCTGCTGGCCACACTGCAGGACGCTTAGATTTTTGGCTCAGAAATGGGATTCAGTTGCTATATCCTCCGGCCCTTACAGGGTGGCCTGCATGTGTGTGCAAGCCTGGCTAATTCGGTGGGTGTCGACCTATCGTCAGCCTTTCTCCCAAGACAAAGAGCTCCAGAGACCTGCCTCTCTACCACCCCTTGGTTCTGCCTCAGAGATGTGGCTTTTCATGACAGGGGTCAGTGGCATTGTGTGAGTCCCTTAGGAGGAACTTAACAGCACCCCTCCCTCATGGTCCTGCAGGTTCCAGTGGTACAGGAGAGGCAGTGGGTGGGGCAGGAGGCTGTGATCTGGGAGTTCTGGGGTGTTCTGGGCATTTCTGCTGCATGGGAAGGCAGAGGAGAGAGGACCTGAAAGGGGAGATGACTCTTGATTCTGGTGAGCAGTCTTCCTGCTGTTGCCCGCAGGAAGACTGACCTGGCAGGGGATGCCAAGCACCTTTGGGTGCTGCCTCCAAGAGCTACCTCTGCAGGGTAGGGGGAGGGATGCTGCAGCAGGCTGGATTTGAGTTAGATCTCGGCAGCCGGAGCCTGCTGATCTGGCAGAGGCATTGCAGGCGCATGTGACTCTTGGAGCTTGTCAGCTCCCATTCCCTTTAAGGAAAGGCAAGCGGTTCTGTCTCTGGGTCTGTCCCCTGTGGGCATGGGGTGGAGCCTGGCCTCTGTCCAGGGGTCTCTTGCTCCTTATCTCTAGATGGGAACAGCAACCTAGAGGTGCTTGTGGACTATATGTTGCAGTTCCTTGCCGGGATGTTACTGGTGCCCCAAACTGGTGGGGAAACTGACCCGCACCTCCCCCAACAAGTACCTCCAACATTTGTGCCTGGTCGATGTGTGTCATTTGGAATTAGCTCCCTTTGCCTGTTCTGATCTGAGAGGGTTTTCCACAAGAGGGAGTCTGACCCCCTCAGAAGAGCCCTCTTTGCCGAGAACCTGTTGTGTGTTGGGGCTGTGCTGGAAGCCTCCGCATCACAAACTGTGAGGACTGAGGGGACGTGGAACCACCCCTAAGGTCACCAGTAAGGAGATGGCAGGACGTTGTGGGATCAGGAGAGGGGGGCCCCTGCCTGTGTGTAGAATGGTGCAGGCTGACTTTGTGCAGCGCTATTGGAGGGACTGGCAATGGGGCTGCCTTCGTGATGTCCTGGGTGTGGGCCAGGGGCTGGTGGGTGTGTGGAGCGGAAGAGGGTGGGGTCCAGGGCTGCAGGGAGATCAGGGCTGTGGGAGGGGCGTTGGACTCTGCGAGGGAGTGTGCTTCTGGGTGGGATGTGGGGTCATTCTCACTGAGTAGAGGGGTCACCCTGCCAGGGAAGGGTGACAGGTGGGCGCTCCTTCTCTATGTGATTTGGCTTTGTGCCCGGGAGGGGCTCTCTTAGTCCACTGTGTGGAGATGCAGTCCTGCACCTTGACCCCCAGCATTCCGGGCATGGGGAGGGTTCCTGGGAGTCACGCTTTACGCAGTGGAGGGAAGGTCTAGGGGATGTTGCCTGCAGCCAGGAGCCCCTTCTTGGTGTTGCTCTTGGCCTCCATCCTTCTCTTCCCCTGTGCCCACAGCACCTGCAGTCTGCCTAGGTGCCTGGGCTCTGTCTCCCTCCCTGCCCTCTGCAGGCTGGGGGGCCTTCCTAGAGAACTGTGAGGTGATGGGCTCACTTGTGTTTTTCAGAGTTCCCTGACAGATGGGGAAAAACGCCTTCCTGTGGACCTAGTAAGCCTGGCTTAGAGGATGTCAGATTTCCTTTGATAAATTAGTGTTGAAAGAGCTCCGTAGATAGGGTGGTATTTATTTACCTTATGTCGAAGGGCAGTGAGGTGTTTCACGTTCTGAATTCTCCAGATACGCAAAGCTGGAACCTGTGCTGTTTTTTTGTGGGGGAAGCCATTTTAAAATACTCCCTGTCATTCTTCTCTTGAATGAACTTTTATTCTTGGCAGCAGAACACATTACCGTAACGAGGAAGGAAGTGAAACCCCAGAATCCCACAGCCCTCCTCCTTGCCCACACGTCCTGTGTTCCTGTGGCCGTCTTTGGCCAGCCCTGGTCCCACCACAGACCCCTGTCCTGTCAGATAGGGTTGAGGGTATCCTGGGGCTCCCTGTCAGTTCTGGGAAACTCCACCACCTGCCATAGCTGGCCCCACTACTCTGGGGGTGCTAATCTGGGTCACTGGCTTGACTTTCTACAAGACCCTCCTCTGGGGGGTGGTGAGGTCACAGTACAGCAATGGGGGGGTGCCTGGCATGGTGCCGTGGCCACCCCTTGCTCTGCCACCTTCTGTTGGGTCAGCATAACCTTGTCCCCTCCTTTTTTGGTGTTGAGCTTTTGTGACTTCCTCGGCCTTCGTGGCTACCCCAGTTGCTGGACCAACACCATTTCATGTGGCTCAGGGGTCCCACTCTCACGTGCTGCTACCTTTGAGCTGGCCACAGGCCCCCACATTGAGAAAACAGCCAATTCAGACGCAGGGAGGCAGCCTCTTTGCCTTCCCTGGATCTTCCTGTTTCTGCTGTGTCTCCATTGAGGATCTGGAGTAAGCTTGGTTTTCACCCCCTTTAACAACACTGACGCCTCCCTGTCAGCATCTCCCGACTTTCGGGGACTCAGGATCTGAGCACCTCAGTGCCACTGCCTGTGAGCTGCTGTTGCAGGGCTGGAACCTGAGTTCCCTGAGTTTCCCGAGATGGTGTTGGGGCCTGCGCCCAGCATCGGGGTCTTTCCGCTTCTCAGAGATGTGTCTTCCTTTCCTCGGCTCAGAGCACTTGCTGGGCCCTTGCAGAGCGGTGTGAATCCTAAAGAGGACTAAGGGTGGGGGTGCTGCTGCTAGTCCCAGAAAGTCACAAAGTAGGTCTTGCTGCAGCTTGGTGCTGCCCAGAGGGGGCAGGGCTCACGGACTGAAGTGTCCTGCCTCATCTGATGTCTCAGCGTCCCAGTGTCCTGTCCATCTTCCAGGTCCAAGAGAGGATGATGCCTGTTGAGGCTCACTGCAAATGGCCTGTGCCAAGCGGGCAGTCCCCCCACCATCCTCTAGGGACAGCCCAGCCACCTGACAGCATCTCTCCCAGCCGTGGGCAGCCCCGCCAGTGTCAGTGCTGAGCTGGTTTGCCTTCCCCTGCAGGTGGGATCCTCGTCACCTTTCTAGGCAGGCCCTCTCATGTCATGGGCCACGCAGCCTCAGCCCAGGGTTTGGGGCACTGGAGAGCCTGAGTGCTTTGCACTGA